CTTCTTCACATCATCGACGCTAACACAAACAATTTCTATCCTCTCCGGTAGAGGCTTTAAATTGATGGTAGACATAAAAAAAAACAAAAGCAATAAATGAGAATGAAATTGTGAATCCTGGTTCCATACTTGTTAAGAACAACACTAAAAAATATAGAATTATCAAATGCAAAAAATATTAAAGAAACAATATATTTGAAATTTAAATGGTTTTATAAAAAGATGTAAGAATATATAGTAACATTTAATTTTCTATTCGTTTCCATGAAGTCTGCTTGAAAAAGATTATAACTTAGATAATTTTATCATATTTTAGATTTCAAGAAGGAGACAAACAGCAGATGTGAAGTTGCTTTTCCAACTTTGCAAAGAGCACCACACTGAGCCTCTGCTTCTGAGGGTGCCTGGAGAATTTGAAGCCTTAGCCAAATGGTTAACACATAGTACAATATATTATTTCATTGAAGTATTGCAATATGTTACCTCAACAACGGGCACTCCCATGAGTTTTAAAAGTTTTTTGCATGCTTGATTATTTTCTTTAGTCACCTACAATATAGAAATATATCCTTAACAATATAATACCAAAACCTTGCTTCAATCTATCATACGGAAGAAAAAAATTAAAGGTCCTAAAATAAACACGTCTAAGAAACAACGACCAACCTTCACTGTCCGTTTACTGAATTTTTCAATATCTTCCTTATTGTGAGCCTGCAATGACAATAAATAGCAGCGAAGGGATGAACATTTTGAATTAATACAAGTAATATAAGCATAAAAACCAGAGAGAACTGAAGTTGCCAACAATCTGCATATACCTCTATGGCTACCGACAAACTCTCTTGAGCCTCAACTCTCCTTGAGAGACTATAACAAAGTTTTAGAATAAAATAAACCACTTAGGAACTTCTGATAAGAATCTATAATTAGAATTCTCTATAAATAATAGAACGAAAAAACACCGTTTTCAGCTCTTAATTCTTCATATTCAGTGGTTTCCCCATCCATATGACGATGCAACACTACCTCGATATTCGACAAGTTTCCCTTCTTTCGAGGGTAAAGCGTGGATCCCTAAGTGTAGAACAGAAAACCCAACTTAACATAGTCTTAATACAAATAATATACTGATTTGAATATCTAGACTGCAACAGAAAACTCCCATTTATATCATTAACTTATAATCAGCACTTGCATTTAAAAATAAGACAAACGAAGAATCAACTTACCAATGGAACGTTCTTCTTGAAGCCAACACCAAGATGAAAAATCTTTGCAAGTTGGTAGAAAGCCTTTGGTTGACCATTGTTGGCAGCCACTATAAAATATTTACATGCCAACCGCACATCTCTTTTCACTCCAATCCCCTTGAGAAACATGACACCTAGGTTATAATGGCCACCAACCTCGTCATTTTCAGCAGCCTTTTCAAAATACTCTTTTGCATGTAATTCAGAAAAAGATATCATAAATTAAGCATAGACATACATAGACACACAATACCACCGATAAAGTGTGTCCCCATTCCATTCCCCAAAAATTTGAAGTCCATACAAACACAAAAAAGGCAAAGATGATCATACTTTAGTGTAATTTTTGCTGTCGACTCCATAGCCTTTGACATACAAATAACCAATCCCATTATAAGCAGAGTAGAGGTGATGCTTAGATGCTAGAGTAAGCCATTCAAAGGCTTTTGTATAGTTCCTCTCAACACCGGCTCCCCTGGCATATATCTCTCCGAGAAGCTCCATGGAGCGAGGCTCTCCCTTCTCCACTGCCTTCAAGAACCACGAAAGTGCCTTAGAATGGTCACGCCTCAATCCACGTAGCCCAAAGTAGTAAAAGATCATCCACCACATAAGTAGCCCAATCCTCCTTAACCTCAGTACACATCAAGTGGAAGTGGCAATCTAAGATACGCAATCCAAGCTTTGGTAAATTTTAACTTCATCTTCTTGGCAAATCTGGCTGCAGACAATACCTATATGCATAACATGAAGATATGATGGATAAGGAAAAATGAAGATGTCAACAAATAATTAAAGCAGTTCTGAAATGAAAAGATTTTTTAATATAAGTAAATATTCATTTAAACAGAGACTAAAATTACAATTAAAAGGACACAAAACATCCTCATTAATGAAAAAAATATGTGATCAACATTAAAGTAAATGAGTATGGAATAATAATACTTACATTAATTTTATGCTTCTTGGACTTGAGCTGCTTATCATCCAGATCTCCAGAAAGCACTTTATGATCACTCTCTACGGAAAACCAGATTACAAAATATAAATGTACAGACCAATTTTTTCATACAACCAGAATAACCAAGCCTATTCCCACTATCGGCTAGATGGATCATTCAAAGTCATAAAGCCCTCATTTATTGGGTCCCTAGATACTTTTTACTTAATCTAAAAAGTAGTATTTTATGCAAATTACTGAAGAAAAAATGAAGAGAAGAAGCACTAAATAGTGAAATAAAACATTGTAAAAAGAAAATCTTAAGAGCCTAAAAGTGATAAGCAAGCATTCACCTGATACACTCCACATTTCAAAATCAGATTTATCATCAGGTTTTTCAAGAAAGGGGACATGTGAAATGGCATAGTACATATTGTGGATGACACCCTCAATACTGCAAAAGATACATTTTCAAATCAAAATTAGAATTATAGAACAAATTAAGTACATTTACAAGTAAATTATCCATCTCCTAGTATCAAAACTAAGACCAAGTTTGCCTGGCAGAAAAATTATAACTGCTTTCTTTCATTATACATTGAGTTGAAAAGATAAATATATTGCTTATAGTATAGCATATTGTATGACATTACATGTCATTTTCGTATATTTTTTATGATAAAAATAGAAGTCATTTTTGTATATAAAACATGCGAGATACAAATCACTTAAGACCAAAGAGTAGAAATAACCAGTGTCTATAGATTTTACTAACTTTGAGCTCAATTGACTTTCATCATTGCCATCTACACTTGCAGTTTTATCATCTAATAACAAAGATAAGAAAAGGAGTTACCCTATCAGAATACCCAAATATTTAGAGAAATTGAAACAGAACACATAAATCTCCTATCTGCAATTTTGCAAATCAAAAATTGGAACATTAAAAGCTAAGTTAGAAAATCACCTGAAACATCTTTCCCCTGCAAATTTCTAGCTAGCTTTTCTAGACTTATGAATGTAAAATAACTACACCGAGTGACAAAATAGTTCAGCAATCAAGAATTAAACAATAGTTAAAAACTCATAAAACAGAGTAAACGAATCAATTTAACTTGCAAAGAAAAACCCTTCATTAATCATACCTGACATCAATATACTTGAAATACTTTGATGTTAGTAAATCAATCAAAAATTCAGCAGAACTAGCAGAGTGAATCTGATGAAGCAAAACAAAACAAAAATATCATATATCAAACTATGAGCACAAAAATAACAAAGTAGAATTACGATTAGAATGAGAAACTTACAATACTACTGATAATTCTGTTATACAACGAAGAATGAAAGGTGCCGCCATTAGCAACCTTCACAAACTCCATCAACGTATCCAACACAACTTCCTTCAGAGTTTCATCAGATTGATCCGATACAAGAACATCTATCAGAGATTTAAGAAACTCATCGAACTTCGAACGGAGCCAAGTGAGGTAAATGAACTCAGACTGGTCGGCATCGGCGTTGTCGGAGGAGGAGGTGTTGGCAGTGGCAGAGGAGGAAGGTAGTTGAGGGAGGAGAGGGAGGAAGAAAGAATGAAGAGAGAGAAGCGATTCGAGGACGTGTTAAGGTGGAGAAGAAGGTGAGACGAAGGTGAGAAGAAGGGGGAGGTTGTTGATGTTAGAGGCTGATGAGAGTAGTTCGTTACCTAGGGTTTTGAGTTCGGCGACGCCGTATTGCTTGGATTGAAAAGAAGAATCGATTAATTGTGTTTTTTTTATCAATTAATTAATTAATTCATTATTATATATAACATAGCGCTTTTTAATAAATGCTATTATATAGGTAGTCAAATAATAGCGTTTTATACAAAATGCTATCTAAAAGAAGTTTAATAATAGCGTTCTGGTACAAAGTGCTATCAAAATTACATAGTCTGTATTATATAATAGCGCCCGATTAAAAAGTGCTATTATAAATGTGTTTTTTCCATTTTAATAGCATTTTTTTTAAAAGTGCTATTAAATTAGGTGATACAAAAAATCATTTTTGGCGTAGTGACTCGTAGGGTGCAGTGCGTTTATTTGCCTTTTTCTCTGATTATTTTGGAAACTTCTTTTGCAGCCTTCAGTGCCATGTGAAGTAGGGTCACAACCTTGAAGCCATTTTCTCTCATTACTTTGTCGACCGCAAAATATCTAGCCGCCATTGTTCTATTGATAGAGACTTATGATAGTGCTCGTAACGGATTCAAAAGAAGTCTGGAAACAATAGCTATATGGATGGTAGTTTGCAACCTTTGCTTCCATTTGATCCATTAAAGACCTTCTCCATGTAAGTCTTGCTCTAATACAAGATATTACAAAAAAAAAGCCTAACTATCAACACTCAACAATTTATTACATTATATGATGAATAAGATTCTCCTAAGCTGAAACCGGTATACCTCCCAATTTGTAGAAAGAATACAGATAAGAAGAGAAATGTTGTAATTGCATATTCAACATAGTATTTTCATGAAGTTTTCCTTTTATATGCATATATATAGTAAAATCTTGCATAACACATGTGTACAAATATTATGATGAAACCAAATGCCATAATAGTACATAAATTTTATTACAAAAAGAAAACAGAATTTTTATTTTATTTTTTGCACCAAACATAGCATAAAAGAATCTCTTATGTCTCCTAAATTCTTTGTCTGCATGTCTTTTTCTTTCACTGCGTTTTATGTCCGCAACGAACCATATTCAACATTCACAACAATTCACAAACACTCACACACACAAAAACAATAGTTACAAACAATGGCACCTTTTGAATTAACAGTGTCACAAGATGGAGTTGGAAACTACAGAACGGTACAAGAAGCCATTGATGCAGTTCCACTCGGCAACACACGCCGAACGGTGATAAGGATATCGCCGGGAATCTACCGGCAGCCACTATATGTTCCAAAAACCAAGAACTTCATCACTTTGGTAGGTTTGTTTCCTGAGGATACTGTTCTGACATGGAACAACACTGCCAATAAAATTGATCACCACCAAGTAAGTTCATGAATTTGTTGATTTTTTGTTTGTATTAGAAAGAAGAATAGAGAAGAGAAGAATTTTCATCTGTAACAGAATTCTGTTATTCTGTTTTTTTATATTTTCAGTTCGTTACAAAAGACTCCTTGATGCTTTATATACAACATCAAGGGTAACCTGCTATTACAGGTTAAGACATACTGCAACTTACAGTTGTCAGTCAAAACCATGATTTAGAGTACCTTTCAAATATCTGAGAATCCTTTTGACAGTTTGCCAGCGAGAATCAAGAGGATGTGACATAAACTGACATACTTTGTTAACAGCATATGTCAAATCTGGTCTGGTGATGGTGGCATACTGCAAGGCACCAACCACAGACCTGTACAGAAAGGGATCAGAAAAGGCTGCAAACCCAGTTTTGGTGAGTTTGCAGGTGGACTGCATGGGAGTGCTGACAGAGCAGGCTTCCACCATGTTGGTTTTCTGCAGCAAATCTCTGAGATACTTAGTTTGAGTGAGGAGCATAGAGCCATTAGCTGACTGCTTGACCTCAATGCCCAGAAAATGGTCAAGATCCCCAAGGTGCTTGAGAGAGAAAGCAGAATTAAGCTTTTGAATGACCTCATTGAGAAGAGTAGCAGAGCTACATGTGAGGATAATATCATCTATATAAACAAGTAGATAAAGAGAGTGTCCTTTTGAGAAGTAGGTGGAGAGAGAGAGAGAGAGAGAGAGAGAGAGAGAGAGAGATCACACTTGCTGGCTTTAAAGTTGAGTTTGAGAAGAGTTGATTGCAGTCTCTCAAACCACTGCCTTGGAGCCTGCTTCAGGCCATACAAAGCCTTGTTGAGTTTACACACTAGAGAGGAGTCAAAGTGAACAAACCCTGGAGGTTTTTCCATGTAAACTTCTTCAGCAAGGAGACCATTAAGGAATGCATTATTTACATCCAACTGCTGAATAGACCACATGTGGGTAATGGCAATGGTGAGAATAACCCTGATAGTAACAGGCTTTACAACAGGTGAAAAGGTCTCAGTAAAATCCAGCCCATGCCTCTGATGGAAACCTTTGGCTACCAACCTGGCCTTGTATCTGTTGATGGTGCCATGAGGATTTTCCTTGAGCCTAAATACCCACCTGCAGCCAATAACATTCTTTTTAGGAGGTAAAGGCACAAGGGACCATGTGACATTTTTCTGTAAGGCATCAAATTCATCTTGCATGGCTGCCTTCCAATGCACATCAGCAAGAGCCTGTTTAACAGATTTAGGCTCAGAGTGAGTGAGAAGCACCCTAGGATCCAGTCTAGGCTGAGAAAATCCAAATTTGGCCCTAGTAATCATAGGATGAGAGTTTTGAGGGATAACAGACACTGTAATAGCATTAGAGGGTACAGGTGGTGCAGAAGCAGTGTCTGAAGATGAGCTGATTAAAGGGTCAGCTGGACTAGAGAAAGATGAGAGTGTCCCTGAGGAGTTGCTGACAGCAATAGGTGAAGAAGTTACAGAACTACCAGCTGGTGATGAATCCTTAGGGCTAGTAGGGAGAGAGGTGGGAGCATGAACAGAGGAGGTAGTAGGAGAGGCAAGAGAAAGAGCATTTGAAGAATTAGGGATAAGAGATTGTGAAGAAGTGATGTGAGGAGTAAGAGCACTCAAAAGGGGACTAGAGTAATGGGGTGCCAAAAATGTACTGGGGATGGAAATATCACTGGGTCTGGAAGAAAATAAGTCTAGATATGGAAACCTAAACTCATTAAAGAGAACATCCCTTGAGATGTATAACCTTCCAGTACGAGCCAGACACCTATAGCCTTTGTGAGAGGTAGAATATCCAAGAAAGAGACATTCTTGATATCTGAAGTTAAGTTTCTGAGAAAGATAAGGTCTCAAGAGAGGAAAACAAGCACACCCAAAGACTTTCAGAAACTTGTAATCAGGCTGCTGATGGAATAGAAGAGTGTAAGGAATCTCAAAATGAATGGAAGCAGACGTCAGCCTGTTAATAAGGTATACAACAGTGGAGAAGGCATAATCGCAATATGTTAAGGTAAGGGAAGCATGACTAAGCAAAATAAGCCCTAAGTCCACTATGTGCCTGTGTTTTCTTTCAATGACACCATTCTGATGGTGTGTATGTGGACATATAAGACGATGGTTAATACCCATCTCAATTAGATATTTAGTAAATGGCCCGAATTCACACCCCCCCCAGTCAGACTGGACAGCTTTAATACGTGACTCAAGTTGCAGTTCAACCAATGTTTTAAACTTTTGAAAAACAGAAATGGCTTCAGATTTAGCTTTAAGAAGATAGATCCAAGCAACCTTGGAATAATCATCCACAAAGGACATGTAATACAAGAAACCTGATGCAGAAGCCTTGGGTGAGGGCCCCCATAGGTCAGTATAAACAAGTTCAAGAGGTTTTGTGTAAACTGTGTGTGAAGTGGGAGCATGTAACCTGTGGGATTTACCCATACATCAAGCAGAACAGAACATATCACAAGTTTTATTACTGAACTGAACATTACAATTTTGCAAAACAAGCTTGAGAGCATGATTGTTAGGATGTCCTAACCTAAGATGCCACATGTAAGGCAAGCTATTAGAAAAAGAAACAGTATTAGCACTAGGTGCAACATTATTGGAAGAAAAACTAGAAGATGCAATAGGGACTTAGCAGGTTGGGACACATCAACAAAAGGAAACTCATAGAGTCCATAAGCTCCTACATGACCTTCAAGAAGAATGGAATTAGACACCTGACATTTAACAAGACACTTGTCAGCTGAGAATAAAAAATACACATGGTTATCCTTAGAAAACTGACTGACACTAAGCAGATTCTTAGTGATAGCAGGAACATGAAGTAAGTTCTTGAGAGTGAGGTGTGTGGTAGGATGAAAAGGGGAAGGAAAAGAGCTTGAACCAGCAGACTGAATAGTCAAACCTTGTCTATTACCAATGTAAATTTGATCATGGCCTTCAAAGAGAGTCACATGTTGTAAGTTCTTTGCATCACTAGTGACATGGTATGAGGCGCCAGGATCAGGAAACCAGGAGCCAGATGGAGATGGGAAAACATTAGCCTCAAAGGTGCTTGGAAGTTGTGTAACAGCAGGAGGGTAAGAAGGCACATCAGGAGGCCTGGTCCACACATAAAGAGAGGCTTGAGATGGTGCTTGTGTGTAATATGCATGAGCACCCTGCCAAGGAGGTTGCACATAGTTTGCACCAGCAGATTGGAACTGATAGTTAAACCTGTGCCAGCACTGCAGGGCAGAATGACCAGGTTTGGAGCAGACTTGGCACTGGACATTAGAATTGGAGAATCTGCCACCTCTACCACGACCAAACCTACCACCACGATGACCTTTTCCACCTCTAAAAGGTTGATAATCCTGCACTTGATTAGACTAACCAGTGTGAGCAGAGGCAGAATCAGTGGCAGGGGTTGGAGATTCATCTGTTGTTGGTGGTTGAGGCACATGATGAGTTAGGTTAAGAGAAACCAGATCTGGAATTGGCTGCTTCTTGAACTTGTTCAAGCGTAGTTCATGAGCCAATAGAAGAATTTAAACCTTATCAATGTCCATAACTCTAAATTTTCTTTCAACAACAGACACAACCGGAGCAAATTCATCAGGAAAGCCCTCAAGAATCACATCAATATGATGTGACACAGGAATTGGATCACCAATGGATGCAAGCGCATCAACAATGGTACGAATCTTCAGTAAATAGTCTTGAACAAAAAGAGTATCCAGTGTAAGAGCACGCAATTCAACACGCAGGTGGCGTGCCCTAGCACGAGTCTGTTTTTGAAAATAGCTGAAGAGACGATCCCACAGTTCATGAGAGTGGTTACAGCCAAGCACGCGTGAGAGAATTTCACTGGAAAGTGTAGATTGAAGCCAGGACAACAATATTTGGTCCTTCTGAATCCAGCGAGAATACGCTGGATTGACAGAGCCAGAACGAAGAGCGGCATCATCAACAAATTTTGCTGGAACACGGGCGCAGACCACCAGATCTGTGAGATCATGCGCGTTAATGTAAGGTTCTACCTGTTGACGCCAGAGATGAAAGTTCTTTTCATCCAGCTTCTGCGCAATCTTAAGCGAGAAGTACAAGCGGCGAGAATCATCCATTATCGGCGCCGGAGACGGCGTTTGTTCAGGAGAAACCCTAGCGAAAGGCGGAGGCGCTGCCGAAGCAATCGAAGTCATGGATCGACTCAGCAATCTGATACCATATTAGGAAGAAGAATAGAGAAGAGAAGAATTTTCATCTGTAACAAAATTCTGTTATTCTGTTTTTCTATATTTTCAGTTAGTTACAAAAGGCTCCTTGATGTTTTATATACAGCATCAAGGGTAACTTGCTATTACAGATTAGGGCATACTGCAACTTACAGTTGCCAGTCAAAAGCATAAACAGAAATAGTTACTTATGTATTCAATAGTTTGTTTGGTGAAGTGGGACTGTGTCAAAATCTAAGCTTTTTGTTATTTTTTATTGTTATCATGATTAGTGAGATGCTTTTCTTGTAGGGTTCTAAGGTGATAGGAACTGGAACATTTGGTTGTGGAAGTAGCATTGTGGAAGGGGAAGATTTTATTGCTGAGAATATTACTTTTGAGAATTCTTCTCCTGAGGTATATGATGAGTATATCATACTGTCTTTTAAGGTTTAAATGTAATTGTGACAGACCTTATATAATAATAATCATCTTTCCTTTTTTTTTCATGGCAGGGTTCAGGGCAAGCAGTGGCAGTTAGAGTAACAGCAGATCGATGTGCATTCTATAATTGTAGGTTCCTTGGATGGCAGGTAGTTTTACTCTCTATGAAAAATTTGATAAATCTTATATATTTGCTTTCACTTTTTCATTGGTTATGACATATGAATATGATGCAGGACACATTGTATTTACATTATGGCAAACTTTATCTGAGAGATTGTTATATTGAAGGAAGTGTGGACTTTATTTTTGGTAATAGCACTGCACTCTTAGAGCATTGTCATATCCATTGCAAGTCTTCGGGGTTCATAACTGCGCAAAGCAGGAAATCTCCACATGAAAAAACTGGTTTTGTATTCCTGAGGTACGGAACCATGTTTAGTGTAATTTCTTTATGATCTATGAAGCACTAACACAGACACAAATACAGATATTATAAGAAGCTCATATGATTTATGATCTATGATCTATGATCTGAAGGTCTCACCAATTCGATCTTACATTATAAGAAATTTACATATAAAGTATAAAAGGGTCATTTTGTCATTGTAGATGTGTTATCACGGGCAATGGAGGAAGCTCATATGCATATCTTGGAAGGCCATGGGGACCTTATGGAAGAGTGGTATTTGCATTTACTTATATGGATCAATGTATAAGATCTGTTGGCTGGAATAATTGGGGAAGTGTTGAAAACGAAACAAGTGCTTGCTTCTATGAATACAGGTCCATAATTTCTCCATCCATAGTTATAAATATCTTTGTCACTAAATATATACGACTTTGTCAATAAATAAAGTCTCATTTTAAACTACAAAATACATTTATTATTTTTATGTCGAAATTACAGGTGTTTTGGACTGGGTTTTGTTCCTTCAAAAAGGGTGAAATGGGCTAGAATGTTAAAGAATAAAGAAGTTGAACAATTTCTCATGCATAGCTTCATTGATCCAGAACCACAAAAGCCTTGGCTAGCTCAAACAATGGCCTTAAGGATTCCATATTCTGCTTAGAAATTATGTTTATGACACTTGAGACCTTGATACAAAGTGTAAAACAAAATTGTATGTTATATCCTTTAAAGAAACCAATTGTTGAATTAATGGTTTTGTTTTTGTTGCCTCTAATATTTTTATGATTTTTAAATACTATATATATTGAGATTTGAGAGTGTGTAAAACAGTTTTACTCAGTTGCCTCAACATTGTTCGTCCAAATTATTGTTTTGTATCCATTTTCTATCTCCCCCTAGTTTTTGATAAAGGATGGCTACTGTTCCTATATTTGTCTCGTGGAGTATTAACGCCAATATGCTACTGCCTTGAAAATATCCGAATATTATACAATTTTTTAAATGCATTTATATAACACAAACATTAAAAGTTGTGGTTAAACTCAATCACTTTTATTTTTTTAAATTAATGTTGATGTCTAGGTATTAGTGTTATGTTGTTCCTGCAAAAAATATCAATTGGGTAGTTCTTTTGATACTGGTCAAGAAGAACCGCAAATGTTTAGGAAAAATAGAAAGGATCATTGTTTTTGAGGGGTTGGATGACCACCATTGCTGGTGGTCTAAGGTTTTCACATGCAACTCTTTTTTTTTTAATGTTATTCATCGATCAAATCCTTTGTCTCCCCCTCTCACTTTTAGAATAATCTCATTCTCCATTTTATAGCATGCATGCATAATGGCTAACAAACATAATCAATTCATTTAACTATTTGTAACAAGCTTAATAACGACTTGTGATGGTTTCACGACCTTTGACCCTTTATATATTGTAAAGGCAACACACTTATTGAATGCGACTTTTCAGCATCTGAAATGAGAAGTTCGACCCGGTTAATCTACCCCTTATGGGTTGTATATACCAACCCGGGTCTGAGACATGTGAAGCATCTCTTCCCCGTTTGAAATATAAAGTCGGGGTATATCCCGGATAAAGAGATATACCGACCTCATATTCAATAAATCATTCATTTTGACGTCTTGATACGATCATTAATCCATATCGAGAACAATCTCAGTCACCAGGAAAAAAATTTGGGATGTACATAAGCCCCCAAAGTGGGAGAGTTGTAAGGATGAAGTTTTTTGAGTCTATCCCAAATCATACACTATTACAAATAACACTTCTAATATCGGACGCGAAATGTATTTTACCTTGGAAATAGATGCAAGGTGAATAAGGTCGTCATAAAAAGTAAATACTTATCACCTCGATGTTTAAAACACCAAAGTAAAATTTTATTAGCGCATGAGTTCGAACCCCAGAAGTAGCAACTTTTATTATTTTCAAAACTAACATATCTTTTATCTCGGTTTATCAAAATAACCGATGGGTTATTAATTTTTTTTTAAATCCCGTTACATTGTTTAGACATACCATTAACAAAATAATTTGTGTACAAACTACAGCGTTTACCCAAAATATTACATTTTTTACACAGAAAAAAATAAGTGTTCATGAAGATTATATGTTGGATCTTCAATTCCTTGATATTCTGGAGAAGATCAAATGCATGAGAAACTCTTTTCTCCCAACAAAAAATGGATATTCTCTATGATTTTTGCTTGCATTTGTTTCTGATATGAACAAAAAAAAGGCCAGACAAAAAAAGGGTTAGATAAATAAACAATTTTCTGCTCAAATAAATACTTAAGAACACAAACCTTAAACCCAAATAATGTTATGCTCTTGCAATCCATCATAGAGAACTATTCATGGCAAACACTTTTGCAAATCTTAAACTCTTCATGATGTTGGATATTCTGGAGAAGATCAAATGATGAGTGCATAATACTTCCTCTGACTTTTGCTTAGATTTATTTCTGATATGAACAAAAAAGGGTTACACAACAAAAGGGTTAGATAAATAAATGATTTTTTTGCTCACATATATATATATATATATATATATATATATATATATATATATATATATATATATATATATATATATATATATATATATATATATATATATATATATATATATATATATATATATATATATATATATAAGAACACAAACCTTAAACCATAGAGAACTCTTCATGACAAAGACTCTTGCAAATCTTAAAGTTTAGGATAATTTCAGAATGCTTTTATAATGGAAGTAATTTATGTTTCACGCAAATCACTAATGGTAATGTATTGTGTAACACCCTGATCTTTATTGAATTAATATTTATAAATTAAATTATGTGAAGTTGTGCATTTACATATGCGTTGATGAGTCTTTTATGTGTTGTGATGCCTTGTTGAGGGCTAGTTACCTTAGAAAAATATAGAAAATAAGGTATTGGGGATGTATGACCAAAAGTGTAAAGGCATAAGGGTAAGGGGAGAGAGTTATTATTATTATTATTATTATTATTATTATTATTATTATTATTATTATTATTATTGTTATTATTATTATTATTTTAGAATAATAATTACGTTAGTAACAATTAAATAATTATTTTCTTTAATTAATATAACGAGGAATGCCATAAATGGAATAAGATAATAGGGGCCTAGGGGTTAAATTAGTTAAAAATCATGAAGGAAAGAATCACTTTAGGTTTGAGTGGTCGTAGAAAACTGAGAAGAAAAATAGAAAGATCGTGTTTTGGGAGAAGAGGAAACACGAAAGAGAAAAAGAGTTAGGGCTAAGAGAACCTCCATTAGAGCACCTTCGAAGAACGCCAATTAAGGTAAGGGTGATATTTTCTATCGCTTAGGAAATGATATATATGGTGGATAGTTGTTAATCTCTATAATTATCATCTATGTTTGGTGTTTAGTATGATTGGTGTGTCAGTGTTGAAGTTTATGTTAATACTTCAAATTGCACGATTCAATTATGTGAAAGGTACGTGTAATCGTGTTTTTGAGCAAGATAAATTGTCATTAATGATGTATGTGAATAAATGTTGGAAGTAGAAATCTGAATTAGGAATTGAGTGATGTTTAAGATTATCTGGGTGTGTGTGAAAATGATTATTTATTAGCAAAAATTGGTAGAAAAGTGCTTCTGCACTGGGTGTAACCAATTACGAGTCTGCGGGTAACCCGTTACCACATATAAAAATGAGGTGTGGAAGCTGGTTATAAGAGGTGTAACCGATTACCACTTTTTGAGTAACTGACTACCAGATCAAGACAGTGGCGTTGCAATTCTGGTTACAGGGGGAGTAACCGTTTACCAGTCTGGGGGTAACCGGTTACCACTGAGTCTGACAAAATTATTTTCAAAACTTCAAAATTTTGTAACTTTTGTTTCGGGTGTCTGATTGACGCATGGTTCGAATCGTTAGAAAGCTGATTTAACTTACTTTATAGAAAAATTATTTTCAGCATCATAAATTCAACTATTAGACGCGTGGATACGTGTTTTGTATGTGCTGAGATGTGTTGATCTGTGGCATATTGTAAATGTAGTGTGAATGTGTGATATAGTTGTGTATTATTATTGTTGTATGTTTGACAGATGGATGATATGTGTTGGCCCTTAGTGGCAAAGTGAATCAATCATGGTGAGGGTTAATGTGCATATTACTGTTGTTGTATGAGTTGTACATATATCATGCATACATGTATGTACAGGCGTGAGATTATCGTGTGCCCAAGTGTGGTGTAAATGATATATCCATATTCTATTTGAGAATCATGTCATCATGTGCTCGGTGGGATGTGAGAGATGAAGATAGGTTATGTGCCCGATGTGGTTTGAGCGACTAAGAGCGGGATGATCGCGTGCCTAAGTGGGGTGTGAGCGATGTACCCGAATTTCAATGGGAATTAATTGGTGGGTTCTTATGAGCCGATGGTACCACATGCATTGAGTCGCATGTTTGAGTCTTATTGCATTGAATAATATATTGTGTTATGTTGTTGATTAGTTGATGTGAATTGTTAGATTATTCACTAATGTATCAAATTGTATGTGTGGACTGACGATTGAGTGGGTGATTAATAATTATGTGATTATATATATTTATGAATTCTTTATGTGATTGAGAATATCACCCTTCTGTTGGAATGATGCTTTATACAATATTGTGCAGATACTCAAGAGTAGCTCAGGATTGAGGTTAGTCGAGGAGATTGTCTCTTATTGCGTAGATTGAGTCGATGTCAACCCTGATATATAACATTGGGGGAAATTACATTGTTTTGTTTATCTTGGGAGTAAACTTATGTATAACTCTATGTGTTGGATTTATTTGGTGATGTATGTTGACCTTGGATTATTATGATGATAAATCATGTTGAAGAGTTAGGAATAATTATTGTTGATGTTTTCCGCTGCTAATGAAGCCATTGAAGTTCATATATGAAAATATATGATTCATTTTTTAATATGTGTTACGTATCCTATTACATGAGTACATTTGGTGATTGAAGGTGACATCCTAAATGTTTAAATTGTTTTAATTTACCCTAGATTTTTAATTATTTATGCGGGAATTTTAGAGTGTTACATAGTGGTATCAGAGCAGGTCAGTCTGTCCGGCCAAGTTGTTGAGTTTGTAGTGTGTGACAGTTGAATACTATCGAGATAGTTCTACTAATCATTATTGTTGTTATTAGTATGAAACAGAAAATGGTTGGAAGAAACGATGTTGCACTTGCTGCTGATTTGCAGGCTGCTGCTCAGGTTGTGCAACATTAGCCTAATGCTGGCGGGAATGATGGGTCTCGTGTCTTGTAAACATTTCAGAGGAACCACTCGCCTACGTTTAAAGGTAGGTATGATCCTAGTGGAGCGCAGGCTTGGATAAAGTAAATTGAGAGGATCTTCTGAGTAATGGAATGTTCGGAGGCATAAAAGGTACAATTTGGTACACATATGCTGGCTGAGGAGGCTGATGACTGGTGGGTTAGCACCCGTCACAGGCTCGAAGGTGTAAATGAGGTTATTACTTGGGTTATGTTCAGCAAGGAGTTTCTGAGGAAGTATTTTCTTGAAGATGTTCGCGAAAAGAAAGAGATTGAATTCCTGGAATTGAAACAAGGAA